CCACATGGACCACTAGGTTGCAATGCTGTCAATGACGACACTCGCAAGGAAGGAAGAAAAGGAGGCATCACTATACATGTTTTACTTAGAAATTCACCTAAACCTAACAAGAAATAATAACTAGTCAATTCCACCCATCGTTTTTCGATACTTGATAAATATCTTTTTCAACACATTCGACTTTTCAAACAGCATAACTTGCACGAAATTCAAATCAATTTGTTAGTCTTCTTTTATTTTCTTCCACTTCATTATTCACCTTACCTAGTTGGCACAAGATAAGAGTGTGAGAGCAATTCCGCTCCGTGAAATCACCGTCTAATTGGGTTAAGTTACGCGATTTGAACCTCAACGCTATAGAGCAACTTTACTGATAAAATTTATTCGGCTGGCTCCGCAAAATTAAAATCAATCTTTTAACATTTTAGTAATGATTTCAGACTCCCTTATTTTGTCATAACCACTTCAAGTTTAAGCAACTAAAAATCAAAGAGGTAGGTACCTTCAAAAAGAACAGGTAGCTGGAAGAGCATGCCAACCTTCCGCCGTAGGCTAAGGACGTCAAGCTCACAGATGTCCCGGTCGTCCAAAAAAATCGACTGCGCTGGCGGCTCCCACAATCGGTTCAGTGACCTCAACATCGTCGATTTTCCGCTGCCACTCGGCCCTATGATCCCTACAATCGCGCCTTTCGGTATTTCCGCATTGATCCCTCGCAGTATCGGAGTTCCTGAATCTGATGTTTTGGTCAAGTTCCGAATCAGAAATTTCGGTTTTGATTCTCTCTCTCTCGCTTCCAAGCCTTCCATATCCACCACAAGTAGGTGCTCTTCAGCCTCATCTGAAAAAAGAAGAGAGAGAGAGAATGATTCGAAACCTAATCGTTAAATATATAAAAAAAAAACGGTAGATCACTATAATTAACAGCTATAGCATTTGAATACGCTCCATCATCCCTCTTCTTGAAGGATTCTGGTTTATTTGACGGCACCGAGTCCCAGTAACTTTTACCTCTTTTCGTCAATAGGACCTTTTCTTAAGGCAATTTCACGTCGGAAGAGAGTCGTCTTCCTCCCTCGCATATAAGCTCTTGCACTCAAAGGAGGAGGTACCCACTAGCGACCTGATGAGGTGCCTAGTGGGTACCTCCTCTTTTAAGTGCAAGGGCTCAATTGGTTCCTAATCCTTTGATAGAATGCCACACTGGAGGAATTTGATTTATGGTTTGGAGTGAGGTTTACCTCTTATTGGAGAGATTTCTTCTAGCTGAATTGAAGCTAAGGACATTGTAGAGCAGCCTTGTGTGTGGCGGTGGCGGTGGCGGTGGCGGTGGCAGTGGCAGTGGTGGAAGAAGAGGAGAGAGTGAGAGAGGTGTTAAATGAGCCGGAGAGAGAGAGAGAGATAGAGCCTGCCCCAGAATCCAAGTAATACAGAACAAGCTCGTCACCGTCACAACAGAAGTGATGGCCAGTGGATTTTTATCAATATGCTTCTTTTTTTTTTTTTTGTGGCTGAGGATTTGTATGGCTGCTTTTTTGAGTCGTGGATGATAATAGAGACTTGAGTGCTCCACCAAATACGTGGAATCCAAATAGCGAACATATTCTGCATGACAAATTGATGCCTGCTGGCATTGTTTACTTTTTCTACTAACCTTTCCTGACTCAACGTTATTCCTTTCCTTCTTATTAAGGACTCGAATTTTAATTTGATTAATCAAATTAAAATTATTCATTTAATAAATCAAATTTAAATTATTCATTTGATTAATACATTAAATTCAAGTTTTAATTCATTTTATACAAGAATACAAATTGCTTCGTAACAATGAAACTTCTATCTCATTTTTAAATAGAGCTAAGATTTATGTATACCTGTAACAAATTTTTTTTTTCACAAGCTTCTTATTTCTAATAAAGGGAGGAAACAACCTGACCATATTCGCAATATTCTGTCAGCAATGGGGAAATTCATAATCAGGGGTTCTATTTTGATTTGTTTGTAATTTGTTGATCATGAAAATAATAAAATAATAGAATAAAAACTTTACCCAAGCCATGATTTTGATGAAAAAAAAACAGAGACACAGTATCAAATAATAGTTTTTTTTGGTCATTTAATATTTAGTATCGGTTTAAAGATATCCTTGAATCTTATCACTACAAAAAACCATGAGACACGTCTCGTTGTTAACAAGAAATGATTAGTAGGCAAGTTGCTTTGTAGGATGAGGATTACACACGTTTCCACACTGCACTGGTTTTGTTTCACTGACTGGTTCAAGGGAGGTTTTTGTTTTTGTTTTTATTTTTGAATGTATAATCTATCTATATCTATAATATTATAAAATATCAGCAAAAGTGAAAACTTCTGATTAATTATAATAGCTTTAGTATTTTCCAAATAACTAATAACAATACTATCTTTCTTTAATATAATTAACAAAATTAGTATAAAAACAATTAGAAATTATTAATATAGTTAATGTAATAATCATAACTCAAGCCGTCCACTGTACCTTTGTTTAGCCATAATAAGAAAGCTGAAATTTGGTAGCTCTAAAGTCACACAACAAATATGCAACCATACATATTCTGAAGTGAATAATATAGATCAATTATGAAATAAATTTAAACCGTATCTTCCCCTCATTTTTTTATTCTGTCACAAGTAATATCTTTTGTAGATTCGTCCATGTTCCATTGGTTTCAGAAACAAGTTGTTCTACAGGTTTGCATCAATTTTCTTGTTGGTTCTTTAAATGCATAATTTTAGTTTTGTGCAGATGTTTCTGCAGAGGTGCCGTCTAAGGTCATTGAAGCAGAGACGCATTCCTATCTTTTATATATAGTAGAGCCAGGTATTTGAATTGCAATGATATGATAAATTTTTTGTGACCCTCCAAAATTTGGGACTTTTTCTTAAATCGTTGATCACCCATCAACTTGTAGAAGTACACCCGTGTGTACCATATATTTCAATATTACGTCGTTATACTCTATTCACTGGGATCATAATCAAAACAAATTTAGAGTAGAATCTTCTTTGTACGGGAGCCCTACCAAATCCATAAATTTTGCATACAATAATCATAGCATTATTCCAAGATCCAAACTCCAATGACTAAGTTTGACTAGGTTTATTATTGTCCATTTATATCATTGCAGGAGGGGCGCTCAAGATGCGAAGGCTCTTTGGTGTTATTTTTTAAAATTTCAACTTCTAGTACGAGGTACTGATACGTGGTACCAGTACCTGGACCTTTTGTTTGCCGGGTACTGGTACTTGAGCCCACTGTCTATCGGAGTACCGATACTTGGCGCATAGATACAAGTACTTGAACCTACTGAAATCTAGGTACTGGTGTTTATAAGTTTAGACACCGATACCTAAGTTACCCAACAAGATAATACCGGTACTTAATTACTTAGATACTAGTAGTTGGGCCTAGATTTTCCCCAAATCTTTCCAATCTTCAACCATTGGCCATCCAAACTCATTCCATACTCAATTCATATATTTATATACACAATTTTTAGCCCGTAAGAGTTTATTACACAACCCTTTATATAATTTTACAAGTTTAAAACAAATTACATGATTGAGATAAACACCGGTGGACAGCCCTCACTTGGGCCCTTGTTGAGAAGAAGCCGGAATCTATAGTAGAACGCCTGGTGTCAGGGTAGCTAGCCCAATCAACATCACAAAAACTTTAAGGTACAGATCCAACGAAGTAGAAAAGAACAGACCCTATGCTGGTGTAGTTTTCAGATAATGAAGGATTTTGTGGGCTGCATCCAGATGAGGTTGTCTTGTAGTGGCCAAGTATTGACTACGAACTTGGACAACATATTATAAATCAAGTCTAGTTAGAGTAAGGTAATGTAACCTACCTATCAACCTTCTATAAATAGAAGTGTCTTCAAGTTCAACCCCTACATGTTGATCAAACTTCAGATGTTGTTCCATTAGAGATTTTGCTGGAATCTTGAAGAATTTCAAGGCAAACTTGCGTTGACAAATTGAAATGCATGTGGATGCTCTTGAAACTTTAAGGCCCAAAAAGTATTTCAAAATGCCAAAATCCTTGATATGAAATTGGCTTTAAGCTATAAAGGGATTTGTTTAAATGACAAACTTGCTGAGAGCCTTCTTGTTAGATCCAGAAGGAAGACTCATGCACACCTCTTCATTGAGATCTCCATGCAAAAAAGCATTGTGGACATCCATTTGAAAGCCAACCTTTGAGCTAAGAAACACCTGATAGTAGTGAATTTGACCACTGGAAAAAAAGTCTCAAGATAATCCAAGCCTTCTCTATGTGTGTATCCTTTAGCAACAATCTTGGCCTTGTATCATTCAATAGTGCCATCAACTGTGTACTTTACCTGATAAACTCATTTACAACCAATGGGAGTTTTATCAGAAGAAAGAGGAGTAACAGTCCAAGTGTTATTCGCCTCAAGTGCTTGGATTTTAGCATTCATGGCCTCACACCAATGAGGAGACTTAACTGCTTCATGAAAAATTTGAGGTTTATAACTGGACAAAATGGCTAAACTATAAACCTTGTCAGAGTGAGAAAGTTTAGTATAATAAAGAAAAGCATAAATACTTTGAATTGTACCTGATGTCTTGGGAGTTGAAACAACAGAAGAAATAGTGGATGGCTGAGAAGAAATGTACTGACAATGATAGTCTTGTAAATAACTTGGAGTTTTCCTTGTTCTAGTAGACTGCTTAAGAGGACTAATGTTAGAAGGATGGCAGGTTGGAACAATGGTATCCTCAAAAAAGGTGGAAAAATGAGGTGTGAAAGAAGAATTAGGAGATGGAAGAAAAGGATTAGAAGCAATATCAAGAATGTGTGTAGGAAAAAGTATGAAGTCCACAGAAAAGGATAAAGAAGATGAAGGAGAAGAAACATTAGAGAAAGGAAATAGATGTTCATGAAAAATAAAATCTCTAGAAAGAAAAACAAATTGTTTCCTTAAAATCATGGAGCTTATAGGCTTTAGCAATAGTAGAATAACCAGGGTTACCTGGATCGCGGGTCGGTTAGGTACGTGGTACGGGTACAAGTGCGAAGTATGTTACTTTTTGCGGTGCGTAGTGCGGTGGGGGTAGGTTTAGTTGGTACGCTATTTTGGGTCGCGGTTCGCTTTGAACTATTATTCGAATCGTTTTCATTATTACTAAAAATTATATAAATATATATATTATAAAATACAAATTAAGACCAACAATAACACATCAACTAATAATCATATATAAAAAAGTAATGATTGCATATTTTATTATAAAAAAAAGATAGCATATAAATTTATAGACTTAAAATTGTAAAAATAATATACTAGCGAACGATTAAATAGTTTCCTACTTGAAGCACAAATCAAAATAACACTCTTAAACATCTAACAAGTCTCAAATAAAAATTACTTAATAATAAGAAAAAATTGGGGCACATGAGTTAATTGTAAACTCTTTTCCTTTTATCTTTTGCAGTGTTTCCTTTTTTTACAAAGTTATTAATTTGAGTCTGATACAGTCCAGAATGACGAAGCGGTGACCTGCTAGAACTAGTAGGTGGCTTGTCAATAAAGACAGACATAGCAACATTGAAGGATGAAGCTTTCCAATCTTCATCTCCAGCAATGGTAGAACTATCAGTATTGTCATCCTCCAAGAATTTTCATCGCAAATCCTCCAATCTCACACTAGAATCATTTATATATGTGTGTTCTGGATTTATATCTCATTTCTTAAAAGGGTCATCTTTGTAACTTTCACTGAAACGTGATTGGAGACGAATATTTAAATGGATGAAAACTAATTTATCAGTTCTGGTAGAATACAATCTATTTCTCTTGACATTGTGAATAAATGATTATGTGCTCCAATTTCTTTCAGCTGAAGAACTTGTCATTGGTTGTGATAACACCTTTATGAACAAATAATAAGACACATTAATAATGATAATTAACAATAAAAATAAATAACTTGTAATTTAAATTAGAACTTTTTTTGCCATTTCTACTAATTCTAAAGTTTCAAAACCATATGTTGACCACCAATCAATAGCATTCATGGTCACAACATCTATTTGAGCAGCCACCATAACATAAAGACCCTTTCCCGAGTGAAAATATGCATACTGTTCTCGCAATTATTTTGCTTCTTCTACATCTTTTGCTACTTTTTGAAAAGTTTCTATAACACCTATGAACACAAAGAAAAAAAAATATATCATTTCTATTTTTCTTTCTTGAAATATAAAAAATGTA